CTCCTCCTCCATTCTTTGAGAGTGACTTTTCTACCTATTCCTCCTTCCCACTATCTATATTTATTTAGGCGGGGTGTGCGATGGAAAACGTTGAATAGAGGTAGCATTCAATAATGACTGACATTGGGTGTGCGATAGACTTGCCTCCACTTGGTGCACCCTGAGCAACGTATACTCATACAGCAAGCCTATTAACTGGCAGTTGACTTCTCACTTCAAACTACCTTAACCCCACTGTATATCATATTCCACCACTTTCACAGTACTCACCTTACCTTTTTCTCTACCTTTTCTACCTTCGTCTTTGAAACACTCTTCTGTTCCCCCCCCCCCACATCTCGGCTTTTTTCCACCTTGATGTTCCTTCCCCTCTGTGAAGCCTAAAGTCGACTAAAGGGCTAATGATAACAAACAAAACGCCTGCCATTTGGTATAACTAAATATTAACAGATAAAAAATTACAATAGTAGAAGCAACTGGCCTTGAAAAAAAGGAAAAAAAAGTTTATTTAACCTTTTAAAAAGGTAATAGGATAGATGACTTTAGGTCTATCAAATAACACCTTGGAAATATTGGCTGAAGTGAATTAAATAAGGAGTGATCTTTTGAGAAGTAAGCAAATGAATGGGTCGACAAACACACGCGCATAATGAAAATGAAGTCGATTGAAAATGGAAGGTGTCTCCCCCCTCCCCCACCCCCCTCCCACCAAAAGGCAAACCCCAAGTGCGCCATCTTTTATTGCAGCTTCGCTCGCCATATTTGAGGCGGTGTCTTGAGGCGATACAAAATTTCCTTTCATGCGGGATGTAAAGCATATGCAGAGCACTCGCGTTTTTTTAATGAATCTGCATAATCTAGGCAAAACGGATCCTCCTATCCATCACGGCCAATTTGTACTTTAATTGACTAGACATATTTGGTTACTATATTGAGATTTCCGATTTTGGGAGACGAGTGAAGTAGCAGTTTGTGATGGCGGGTTTCAGACATCCCAGGGCCCATGTGATTAGCGGTCATTCTAGAAGAAGTAGAACGCTCCAATCTCTCGCAACGACAGTGCAAACTATCAACAATTCGCGTCTGTCTGCCTCTTTTACATCTTTGAAACACTCTTCTGTTCACCCCCCCCCCCCCCCCCTCTGTGAAGCCTGAAGTCAACTAAAGGGCTAATGATAACTATCAAAACGCCTGCCATTTAATATAAAACTATCAACAATTCAATATGTGATGACGATAGTAACAGAAAAAAAACCGATGAACGAAGTAACTAGGAGAGACTTTATATCCGTAAAATAATATCCAAATACTGCAGATATTTCAGACTCTAAAGTTTTATACCTTTTTTAGAGCTTCGATTGATCACGCGTGTTCTCAAAAGGTTGTACATAAAAGTAATTCCACCTTTTTAATATAACACCCTATAGATCGGGGTGATATATGCAACAGTCACGCAAGTCATCGAATAGCCTTCACGACAAAACTAGCCCTAAAATATTGACTCTTTGACTTAGCGTATACATGAGCATTATTGTCGTAGTGGTCAACGCATGTGCATGTGAATCCTAGTGTGGACACCTCCAACCAACCTGTTTGAAGTGGCCAAGGGAGGAATAGAACATTAGAAACACTTATCAGTAACTACTCATGACGAGAGTTGAAAGACGCCTTCCATCAAAGATCTGATTGGGATATCCAGCATTGCACCAATCAATAGAAAGTCTTGATACAACTATTCTCATCCGTCTCAATCATTTCTCCTCTAATCAACTGATACCTTCTTCTCCCTTTAACTCCTATGGTGGTATTGTCAAGTATTACCATTTTTTATAGTCACCTGAGCATCTGTTCAAAGTGCTAAAAGAATTTGAATTAGCCTGTTACCTGACTATGAGAGAGAGAGAGAGGGGGAGGGAGAGAGAGAAGTAGAGCGGTCAACCGTTCATCCCTAGGCCTCCTCACCACAGTAATACCTCGATTGTCACATGTCTCAATATCTATCATTTGCATCTACATTTAGCTTCTTTTTTATTCAATTATTACTACATTATTCTGAATTTCAGTGAAATGTCATTTTGCCTGCAAACCCGTTATCTCAACGCCAAGACTAAAACCCACACACACTGCTTAATTTCATCGATAACTAGCGAGAGAATACATCGTATCCCAGTGAGCACACAGTAAACTCAAAGTTCCATTATCAGTTGCTCACGACAAAAAAATGATACGCAATTAATAGGTAATTTCACCCGACGCCTTAATTTTCCAGAACCGGGGTGAGCGATAGACTTACCTCCACGTGGTGCCCCCTGGGTAACGTATACTCAACTCATACGGCAAAAAGGCTATTAATCGACAGTTGATTTCTGACTTCAAACTACCATCACCACACTGTATGTCATATTCGACCCCTTCCACAGTACTCATTTTACCTTTTCTCTGCCTTTGTGTCTGTCTGCCTGTCTCTTTCACATCTGTGAATCATTATTCTGTCCCCCCTCTCGACATTTGGTCACTTTGATCTTCCACCTCCTCTATGTGAAGCCTGAAGTCAGCTAAAGGGCTAATGATAACTATCAAAACGTCTGTAATTTGAGTAAATGAAGAAATAAATATTTTCCAAAACTCCATCTCCTTACTTACCCATCTCTGTATATATGTAAATTCAATAAATGGCTCCATTAAATATGGTTTTGTCTTATAATAGAGTTCAATAGTTCTTTTAAAGTCATATTACTTTTGTTCCGCATCAGTGATTAGTCTGTACTTTATTTATTTATTTACTTATTTAACATAGGGTACTAGATATTAAACCCATCTTACTAGCATCGTACAGACACATGCTTCTCATTGTAAGATTTTGCAAGCTCTTAGCCTACTACTACGTCGATGATTCTCTACCTGTGCCTTCTAACTAACAAATTGAACCCAATTGCAGCTGAAGGAAAGGGGCGCAAACATCCAAGCAAAAAAGTGGAAATGTCAATAACTACAGTCTACAAGATAACTTACTGTCGAAGTAATTTTCATTTTGGGGAATATCAGCATTCAACTCTTCACGCAAACGTTGTTGCCAAGCGTGCTCAGAAATGGTGACACCACTTCCTCCACCTTCCTCTCGAGTGGGCCCCGAAGTCAGATCCTCTCGCAAACTGCACTGCATAAGAATCTAAAAGGCAAAAAAACGCGTGGTTACCAATGACAAAAAATGTGGTGATGTGGAGTCTAGGTGAACGGTACACTCAAAAGAGCCCAGTCACAGCCGACGAAATTCCCGATGCAACTGTAAATTGTGGTCCACGCTGAAATCTCCTTACTTTAAGCATTAGCCTTTGGGAGTTCTGGGTGCTATTCGATAGCATAAATCCAATAACCACCTTTAAAAAATAATCAGCCCCCCCCCCTCCCCCCTCCCCTATCATCCCTCAGAGGAGTGATCAATTATATGCACAGGTCTCGGCAATCTCACTTTAGCCAAGGAAAACAAACAATTATCGGATCTTGGGATATTAATATCAGCAACAAACAAAAACAAACCCTATTTATGAAAGGCACAAACAGAGGGGGAGAGAGAGAGAGAGAGAAGGGGAGAGGTGGGGGGGGGGGAATTTCCGCCCCATCACATGGGTCATTTGTCTCATTTTGATTATTGCCTCGTAAGAAAATTGAGGTTCAAGTTTGCAAATGTCATAATAATTGCAGTTTAATTTATTGATTACAATCGATAAATTTGAAATTAAAATCAATAATTTCCTCAAAGTGAGCCAGTTTAGCGCATTACGTGGAACTGAAGATAGGTAAAGAGTGCTGTTTGAAAAAAATACCATACTATGAAGAAAATTTCCCCCAAAAATTTTGCAAATTTCTCAAGTGTGTCATTGGTACGGTCAGTGGGCACCTCTGCAAAGTCCGGTGACGCGGCGTCCAAATCGATTGAGATTCCGGTCAACAAAAGGGGTGTTTGAAAGCAGTATATGACCATGTCTATACCATCTCCACGGCAATAAAACAGCTGGCTAAATTTTTCCCCTAACACTCACATCCGAAGGTTCATCAAAAAAAGCTCTGACATAATTGTCATAACACAAACTTAGCCAAAATAACTCAAATTATGCAAAAGTAATAAGGAAATATAAAAAAGTTCAATTATGCTATTCGAAAATGGCAGTAAATAAAGGCAGAAGTTTCGATCATTCTTTTCAACGGTGATGTTCACGATAAAACAAAAATAATAATTAAAAGTTGGGCAGACAGGTCGTTCTTCTTCGTCTTTTGACTTCACTTTCCCCTCAGTTGTAGATTAAAAAAGAGAGAAGTACACACATACACACAACTTGCATATTTCTTATCCCCTTATTACAAATAATTAAAATAATAAATCGATGTGAATAGCCAGATTTCCAACTTAACTCCTAATAATTATTGGCCGCGAATTACCATCCTCAATGAAAATCCCCAATTATCAGATAGCGCTGGTAAACATGTAAACATAAAGAAAAACAAGGACTGGCATAAAGAATGTAAAGCTGGCATACGAGGTCACTTTCCCAGTTGCAATGTGCCTTGGAACGATTTATGGAGTTCATTTAAGAGAGAGAGAGATAGAGATTGGTAAATATAATTAATGAACCCTCCCAGTAGACCAAACTCGAAATAACCCCAACACACTCCACTGAATTGGGAAAAGAGTCAGATTAACAGCGACTAATAAAAAAAATCATTTTTCAACTATTTATTTATTTATATCAAATGGCAGGCGTTTTGAT